TTCAGTTCTCCAGAGCAGCAGGATGTCTGAGGTCTGCAGAAACACAAAAACACAGCAGCTAAAAATAGTTGTTCAAAGAAAACGAGGTGGGAGCTGTTGATTCCTGAGGTACATGTTGTAGCGGGTTATGGAGCATGCACAGCGGTGTCCACACTGAGCTTTGTTGTGAGCATGTGGACTTGTCTGCAGAACATTTCCAGTACAATAACCAGCTGTACATGCACCCCAAGCAGCAGCTTAAAGCTCACCTCAAAGACATTTAATAGGAAGGACGACTCAGATATCACGGGTCCAGCTGTGACCGTGTCCACAGCAGAGTGTGACCGAGGCTTAATGCTAACACACATGAAGCTAATACCACCACGAGCAGCTGCTCAGTGGATTTGGCGGAGAAATGTCTCCAGCTTCTCACAGGCAGTATGCAGAATGTGGATCTCCACAAAGACTGTGGAGACCTCGTCCCAGACTCTAAATCCACACTTGTCTGCACAAAACTTCTCACATGTTCCCGTCACAAGTGTCTTCTAAGTGAAGCTACCAGGTTCAGGTCCAGCTCTGTTTATCTGGGGCTGCAGCAGATGAGTGATACATCCTTACTAAGCAACACAGACACCAGATATGCCAACACAGCACCATACAACATAAGAAAGACATCCAAATAATTCTCTCTGCATTTCTGTGGCTGATGCTGCTTGAAGGAAGCTGTTTGAAACATTGTTGTTCTGCGCTTTGGGACCAGAAGAGGAAACTGAAACTCTGTTTAGAGGGTTCAATAGAAGCAGCCACGCGCTGTAAGTGTCTGCTGTACAGGGATGCTGGTTCAGCTGTGGCTCAGCACAGTTTCACAGTGTGGCTCAATAAAAGCAGCACGAAATACAAGAATGATCCTTTCATCATGTGGAAATAAGAAATTTTCATGTAATGTGACAGACACTGGAGCACTTTCACTCACAGTTTCAGTTTTACAGTTTCAGCTTCAAATTTCAGTTTTTTTTGTGCAGCTTTAGTGTCACAGTCCCACTGTGGCCTCCTGAACTGGGAGTTTGTTTTGTTTTGGACTCTGAGGATTCCTGTTCAGTTTTTTTTTAATTTCACACAGCAAAACTTGACAACTTTTCATCTTTTTATAATAAATGTACTTTAATGTGAAACATTCAGAGTTTTTTCTCTTGTTGTGTTTGTTTGAAGATGCTTCCTGTTGGCTTCAGTATGGGATCAGAACGATGCCACCTTGAAACGAAACCGAAAAAAATATTGAAACCGAAAAAAAATATTGTAACTGAAATAAATGTACTGAAAAATCTTGTATTGAAACCGAAAAAAAAATTGATAGTGAAAAACAATTAATTGAAACTGTAATT